GCAAGTTCTGCTGGAAGTTCAAGTTCGACAAAGTCCCCAGGCCACACAGTATGTGATGAGGTAGCACGAAGCACATGAGTTCGCCGAATAGCATGTCTGTCTCCATGCGTCCGATTGACGCCATACTCGTATGTGTCTGATGCCACACAGACCTGATGTCTAGCGGGGCGGATAGAAATGTCATTACATTCCATAAAGGGGATGCCAGCGAGAATGTCCGAATCCAAATTTTCTACCACAAGTCCATCAAAAAAGAGCATGTGCCCGCCTAATTGAAAATGTGTGCGTGTTTCTCCAACCACCTTCAATGGAGAGGAGCCATCTGCCTGACGAGCTGACTGCGTACTGCTGGAGACTTTAAGGCCCAGTTTGGTGGCACATGCTGCCCTTATCATGTTTCCAGTTGCACCACTGTCGATGGTCAGCCTAACGGGGACGTGACCATGGAAAGCCTCGAGGCAGGGTGACTGCATAATGTGAACGCGCTGTACCGCCTTAGGATTGAAGGATATGTCCTTGCTGTCATCCTCGAACTCGCCGTCGGAGTGACATGGAGAGCCAGCAACTTGCCGCGCCCTGGCAATGAAAGCTTTGTCTGGAGGGGGCAGGAAAGGGCACTTACTGAGGAAGTGATTGTCCGGTCTGCGAGCCTCCTTACAGAGTGGGCAGGACTTCCTAGATCGACCCAGTGCAGCAAGCTTCTGTCTTGGAGGGTTAGAAACGGCTGTGCGCATAGCTCTGGCATCCTCTGACGACTGTAGCTCATCTAGTAATGAACACAGGGCCTGAGATATCTCTGGTTTGATGGATGCCAGGGTGCGTGACCGTAACTCCGTGCCATACCTCTGCTTTACAAGCTTTGGCAAATCGCTGTGTATAAGACGAAGCCAAGTTAGAACAATGAAGTTTTCGATCGAGGGAGAGAGCTCCTCATCCTCTAGAATGGCTTCACCTCCGTGAGTAATGCCAGAGTCTCTGCGTAGTAAATTGTCCTCAACAAAAGCCATTAATATCTGGTACAAATCCTCTGGCCCTTCATTAGACTCAAGTTTAATAGCAGCAAAGCCAATGAAATGTGCACCAGTTGATTGGAATCCATAATGTAGTCTGTTTGTCTGCCATATGTGATTAATGCATGTGGAGTTTTTAACAATAGTATTTCGGGAAATAACAGGGCAGTAGTTAGCGATCTGCCCCAGCATAAGCTCGAGCATGCTGACCTTTTGTTGGCGCGTGCGCCGTTGCGCCGCGGGAACATCATCGTCGTCGTCATCGGTAAAACCTCTGAATGGTGAAGCCCTTGTCTTCTTTTCCCAGCGCGCGCCGTCAACTAGAAAAGGAGCGAATTCATTGTCCAATGACAACGTGTAAACAAGGTTCTGACGCCAGTTCTCAAATGAATTCACAGTCTCAACTTTCGTTAGGCACCACTGCTTAGGTGCTCTGTGTGTATTCGCCATGGCTAATATC